GAGACATTGCTGACGAGTGGGCGATGAAAAGTGAATGCGATCCGCGAAAAAAAAACGTGGGGCGCTGTCACTTTGGCGCGCGGTGTTATCGCAAACTCCGTCGTTATTAAATCATGCACGAATAGCCAGCCCTTTTGTCGGTGGAAATTTCCCCCAATACAAGAAGAAAAAATAAAGATCGAAAAGATAACACGGCATTCACCTGTCCCATGTCTAACAAACACCCCCTGTTGTACCTGGCAAATCTGAAGGGGTTAATAATACTCACTCCCACACACCGGCTACAAATTTCATTCAAATCCTCGGCGCGAATTAACTCTGTTTTGCCCCGGGTTTCTCTGGTGGCTCCCAGACATGAGATCTTATCGATACTTGTTTTGTCCCGTATATACTGAGTGCAGCATGCAGATCCTTGTGAAACTTACTCTTAACAATTCCTGCTTTTTCTTTATTGTGAATCTGGCCGACAGAGTCTTAATATGGAGCACGAATCAGCGATAACACCGATTTTGCCCGCTCTCTCTTTTGCTGATGGAATTATTGTTGTACACGGAAGCAGGTGAAAAGGATGTCCAATCCAAAAATTGCAATAAGATTCTGAAGTCTGGCTCATCACATCTTTGGTTCAATGATGACGAGGGTTAGTGAACTTGATGATAAGACACAACCAAGATGCTAGCCTTTGAAACTTGCAATACCGATCCAGCCCTCAAGATATCCTTCTCACGATTCCGCTGCCTCAAACTCTGAGACTCGTATATATGGGTGCAATGTACCGTAATAGAGTTAGTAATTTAACCTGGTCCTTATAGTCGTTAGTCAGTTTCTTATTTTTTTAACACAATTCATGTGTCTAGTCTTGTTAATGGAATTATATCTGGAGACGAGTCCAGAGTGGCTTGAAGGTATACATTCTTCAAAATTGTTTGAACCGTTTGTCTTGTGAATTGAAAATCTTGTCTATACTCCGTTAATATTCTTCCGGTGATTCTCGTCTGATACTTAATCCGTATTACCTAACTTTCTATTCATCCAATTGTGCCGTTATCCAGTTAGCATCCAGTTGAGAATCTTGCTCAATGAAAACATTTAGTTTAAAGGGTTCATGTAATTTGCTTTAATGCAGTCGTTGTTAATGCACCTTCGTGTCCCATTTAACGTTATTTTGAGTTTTCAGTTTCCCATTTTTAAGGGCATTTTGGTGCATTTTTGTTATTTATGCTTATTCGAATTTGCACTTTCATGAGCAAAAGTGTGATGTCATTTCAGGCAGAAACCTCAATGTTTCAACCGCTATTTCAGCACCAAAATTTGCCAGAATTTTGGAAAGTTTGCTGTCGTTAATTGTCTTTTCTTTTGCGATTCGTTGTTGTTTCAGTACATGACAGTAGGCCAGTGAGCAAAGTTTTCCGACAAATGTTTTCAATGAGCAAATTTTGGGTTCACTATTTGAACAGAAAACCCTTCCTGAAATGACATCACACTAACAGCGCCCTCATTTGTCAGGAAAAGCATCTACAATTTAAATGATTAAAGAGGTGCACTTTACACTAAGATTAACCAAAAAGGGATGTCAATATAGTTTTCATACATTTAAGAGAATAGAAATTTGCAACAACAAAAAAAGTAAAATTCATGTCATGGGCCCTTTAAATAAAAAAAATCATAGGTAAGCAATAGCTTTGCAATAGCTATTATTGTCATGTTTTGTCGATATGTTGAACGTAATATCTCGGTCAAACTAGCTCTTGCTATTATTTGTCTCTCAAAGTAAAAGCAAACAGGACGTGAGGTTTACTTTTGTGTATTGATATAGGTCGCATTTACTGGATGTTTGTATCTGTGGTTTGATCCTCCCTTTTAAACCTTCAAATTACATTAAACATTTCATCGTGAAATTATTGTCTCGCAAAGCAAGAAGCTTAATGCCAGTTTATAGCGACATGCAAATCGCGGGAATTGAACATGTGCGCATCTCTAAATCATACTGCCAAGTCGTAAAAATAGAAGAAAAAATATTACAAGAGTGCAATCTGCCAAAATATATTAAAACTCAAACAATTATTTCCAATGTCTTATTAATTATTGCACAAATTGACAGTATAGTATGAAATCGTATGTTAATAAGTATAAAGCAGTCTAGAATTGAGTTATAGCTCATTAGGCCTATAGCATAGGAAGTAGGAAACAAAATGCAAATTTACTTAGGCTATCGTATAAAACTGTGCCGAATGGGTCTGTCATATAATTCATGCGATGGATCCCCAGATTTGACGATAGATCGTCGTGTTTCTTTCCAAAATTATATATATTTTGGTTTAATCAAATCGATTACGATATACAGAACAAAAGAAGCTTCCGAAATTAAGGTCGGAGTTGAACCCGTGTCACTTCAACCGTCATCAATTATTTTTTTATTATTCCTACGAAGTTCATTTATTATTTTCGTTTCGATTTTGAGTGTATATTTTTGTGTGTTTTTAAGATGTCAGCTGCTAAACTTGAAAAGCATTTTTTTTTTCAAATCTGAAACGTTTGTTTCATTTTCTTTAGAAAACGTATAGTGTTGTTGCGTGGATGTTGCGTGTTTGTTTTAGCTGTTATTGTGATCGTTTTCAAAACTGCTTTTGCCATGATGTGAGTTGATGCACTTTGATATTTGGTTTTAAGTGAAGTTTAACTTCGAAATGAACACTGTGGTGTTTTTTTTTGCTGTTTCAAATCTCATCTTTGTCTATATTAATGTTGGAATTCCTTTCAACTTACGTTTGAAATGCAAATTTAGAAAGTTCTTATTTCAAGTGAAGTACAACATTTTAGCATCCTTACAACCACATATTTGCACCTCGTGGTCTTGCGAGTCTTGAGCTTGAATCCTTATTTTTGGGACTTTAGTTGTTGATTTTATTTTGTTGGTCGCTTGATTTTTAATCACTCGTACGAGTTAGTGGCCGTAATCATGTAATAATGTAATGTATACATTGTATGTATGCAAAGTATACACTGTATACAATGTATACAACGTATTACATTGTACAATGTATTACACTTTAATGCAGTGTTACCACACCAACCACAATCAGTTAATCAGTTGTGTGAAAAAAAACTATATATGCATATTTTCAACAACAACAAAACTGCGAATGGCAAGTGGCTACAGGTGTCATTTATCAAATAATTTCCGAGCTGAACTGGCCTCCGATCCAACATCTGACTTCTGAAGTGCTATTAATAGGTTCGGTGTTGCCAACCTCTCGCCAACAACACACAAAAACACGCGCTCTTCCTGTGAACGCCGAGCCTGCTTGCAAAAGATAAATACCTCAATGGGAGAAATGGCTGGTTATTTATCTTCTAGATGCCAATCAGAAAGTAGTCGCCGTAATCAACAGCCCACAAAAAAAATTAATGAATTAAATGATAAGTAAATGAAATAATCAAAAGTAAAGCTTGAGTACAACGAAACACCTGCCACACCGCTCATCCATTTTGGAAGGCTTTTTTTCCTATTGTTAGAATACCATCCACTGTTTTATATTCCAAGCTGGTTTTTGTTGAGTTATTGTTTTCCCGAAAAGTTTCACCTGGCGAAAAAAAACCTATTAAAACAATCAAGGCTCTTAGCTACATGTTGAACTGGCTTCTAATGCAATTCTGCACCGATCGTCTCGCATTATGGAATTTGATTTGAAAATTTGAGCCTTCCGTCTTTTGTTGAATTACGGTTAATTTTTCATGAATTCAAGGTTTAATATGAATCATTACGTTACATCATTTTCTTTAAAAGAATCTGCAGTGGTTTTTGTTCATGTTGGTCTTGTTTAGTTTTGTTATAAAATGTATATCATCTTGGGTAATGCGAATTGAGACATTACTGTGAATCTACACAAAGAAAAGCTCTTGACAAACACAGACAAATCAAATTCTAGTGGAAATACACCTGTCTGTTTATGAATTCAACTGCTGCTGTTCAGAGGGGGAAAACACCTCCAAAACGAAACCACTTCAAATCGCATGTAATTTTTCCTTGTCAGACCATTTTACGCGCCTCTATATGAATCGATATTCAAGCCGTTTATTGCATGCCAAGTTGTCCCCAACCCTTTACACGCTTGAAGGATGTCACGTCGGATTAACTTTGATCCGTTGCAAACCTAATCGGTTCTGAGCCGTTAATCTGCTTCAATTAGGCCTCGCGCCATCCACACGCCTTCGTCCTCCCACTCCGCCCTTTTTGAAGAAAAAACAAAACATATCACTGCTCAAGAAATGACTGATCTTGGGGAATTTTTTTTTCTTGACCGGGTCTTCATCCTGTTGATGACGTCATTTAGTTACATAAACAGCGCCCTCTATGTCGGACGTATTTTCTGTGGGAAGGTTACTAATCTATTTTTAGCGATGTATCTGGGTTATTCTATAAATTTAGGGTTCAAATTGTGAAATGTTTTCCTGTCCCTGTTGCCTTGGCACTAAGTGATTTTGCCATTCAAATAATGTATCATTAAATAACGACTTCTATTTGTTTTTAAATTGATTTGTTAGGTATGTACTCGCGGAGGACGGCTGCATTAAGGAGTGCATCAGAAATATAAAATTACAGATTTCACATGTAACAGGGACAGGACAATTATTCAGTGGACCCCAAATTTATGGAATGATAATGTAAGAAATGCCCTGTCGTGTAGCCTACATTTTAGCAGAAAACTTATTATGAAGATGTTAATATGAATGTTTATTGTTACAGAAATGACGCGATTGCCGTCCAAAATAATGGATACTGTGGTAAATAGGCCTAACAATAACTGTCGACATTTTGATCAGAATGTTTTGTTTGTCATAAATACTCTCAAACGGTACTTAAAAAAGGTACCCACTCTTTTTCTGAACGTGATCTTACATAGGTCATGGAGGAATAAGATCGGGCCTACACAATTGATACAACTTTGTGTGTGCATATATTTATTTCACAGGCACTTCGTTCACGGACTGATCAGTTAATTGGTTGACCGTATGGTCTTGGTGCGTATAGTACGGATGGTCATCGCTACAATTTCAAAGTGGCTCTTTCCAAGGAAAAATATGGTGAGGAATTTTTATCGCATTTTAACTATAGAACCATGGAATAGGCTTAGGCTAACCCGTTGTTTAACAAAAGAACACAGGGCAATATAATTTAACGATCGCGTGCGTGGCCTGCCGTTTTAGGTGCTATTTAGAAAAGAGGTGCGTGTATGATGTACATGTACATTCGAACCCTGATAAGAAGAGCCTGCTTATAACAAGCAAAACGTTAGGTCCCACGTCTTTGTTTTCCTTTGTTTTCCAATACTGTTAATACAAGGTACCTGTTATAACAGGTAATTTGTCAAGTCCCAAAGACCTTGTTATAAATGTGTTCGACTGTACATATATTACATGTAGTTTGTACACAGTGTACTTGGTCTCATCATGGCGCTATTCATGAACACATTCGAGTACTAGCAAACGCGTGCAACCAGACTTAACACAGTTGCAACAATTGATAGAATATAAACGGAAACTAATTATGTTGAAAAGTACATGTATTGATATTGTGGTTTCGTATGAGGCAATTATATACAAGTTACCATATAACAGGTGCACATACAATGCACTGTAATTGACATTTGGAATATCAGTCACAGTGTAGGTCATATAGGCCTTCGCTGTTCGGGACGGTGGTATAATAGATACGTTTTCCAGTTATATTCCACGTCTAAATCACAAATTTCAAGCCTTTGAGGAACTATATCTAAACTTAGATTAATAAAAAGGTAGGAGGTAACGAAAACCCAACATTGATATTGACAAAACACTACGCAAAACAATAGAAGCACCAAAAATCATAAACAAAATGCCTAACACTGTCCTGATGCGTACTCACAAACATTGGTTACTCCAGTGCATGCTCACCAATGCACGTTTGGTACAACATAAAACCCATTGTAACACAAACACAGAGATGCAAGTGCCAAAACAGTGCGTCAAAAATACTGCTAGAAATGACCCAACACTTAAAATTACAACTTAGCGGCAATCGTGCACAGTGGCAAAGTGCATGCAAAAAAAAAAATCCATATGCAGCGCGCGATGTATGCGTCACCGATTGCATGTTAATTCAACGCGTAACCTGCACACTGTCAAAACTCGACAACTCCTACTTTTCATCACACCCGTGTTGACACCTTAAATTTTCTCCACGGAAGCCGGCAATCTGCCTGCTACAGCTGTCACAGCTATAGGGGAAACATATTTCCATGGTAAATGTTTTGACCCCGTTGGATTTGGACCGAGCCGGCGTAAAGTGCACGGCTGGATATTTTAACACACAGGTTTGAGGCAGATTATGCTTCAAAACGTATTCACCCTTTCCCCGAAAAAAGGTGTATCATTTAACGGAAAATGGTTTTACAAACACCATTAAATAACCTTGACTGAAGAAACCTATACGTTTAATATAAACATCTTGGTCTAATTATTTTGTAAAACAAAAACGACACATCAGGTCCCATAAGTGTTAAGTTTCCGTATTTCAACCTCTTGGAACAGGACATTTTACATAAAATCTTTTGTGATGTGTGGGAAGTAAAGAGTTTCAAAAAGTTGGTTTTTTTGTTCCGAAACACCGCCAACAAATCCCAAGATTTTGAAATTCCAGAAACGCCCATCCTATTTCCCGCCAATTCCAATTCTTTCGAATCCTAAAATTGCCCAAAACACATTAAAATATCTTCTTTTTTCCTCTTCCTTTCATGACTTCCTTTTTGGGCCAAGGCAATTTCTTACAGGCTGATTAAACGGTATCGCCAATTCGCAGTCAAAATGTAAAAATGTCGAAGATTGAAACCATATTATTCAATAGACTGCAATTGGATCCACGCGGTATACTATCTACAGACTGGGACGATGCGCTCATATATATTATTACATGTATATCATTATTTTTAAAAGTGACAACACGAGACATACATTCGAAACACTCATTTCTTTTTTTCAATTTCGTAACTTTTCAAGTATTTTAATGATAAAATAACATGTACATGTACACACTCGGATTATATACAACTGCAACAATATTCTTAACAAAAAAGTCAACATTTTCTTCAAAATTTGGAAAGCAAATTTCCAAACCTAAAAAAAAGTAAGAAAAAACATAGACAAGTACTTATGGGAAATATCGCAAAAAAATACCAAGTGAACTTTCAAAGTTGAAATGTTAACAAAAAGACGGGACGTGCGAACTCACACGTAGTTCCCAAACTTGCTGAACCATTGAACAATCACTGGCTAAAGCCCCCAAAAAGCTGGGCAATTTTTCTTGTCTTTCTTCCGTGAAAAAAATAAAAACTGACAGCACAATGAAATCGGCCACAGATGGAACGGAGACTGGTGGAGAAATATAAATTACGCACGGTGAATATGATCGGACACCATAAATCATCGGTGGTCTACTAGCGCGCCTTATCAGCGCATCAGACGAAGTGTAATTTATAAGCTACTCGACAACCCCACGATGATAGATGGTCCCAGTAGCACCCCGACATTAAAACGTGTTGTCCCCGAGGTCGGATACCAGCCAATTTTCTTTTTATATTTTGGAAGGGGAGCAGTAGGTCGTACTGAAAATCAAGATGTTGAAAAGCTGTGGATATGAAATAGCTCAACAACTGAACGGGAAGCGTATACGAATCGAGGTAAACATGATTATTGATGGGGAAATTTTGATGAATAAGGGTGCTGACAAGCTTGTGCCATCACCTCCCGTATACTAGGCCAGGCGCGGAGGAATATTCATAGTAGGAAATCGAGTGAAGTGGTCTGATAGAACACTGAGGGAACACATCACCACTTGACAATCTCACATTTTAAACTGATATTTAAAAAAAAATCGTTGTTTCTCTCAGTCTCACAAATTATTTTCTCTATTTAATGAGACAAACGTGCGTCTTTTGTGTAAAAAAACAAACAATTTCCAAAAAAAATGAACACTGTTATATTTCTGGAGCATGTTTAAGAACTTGATAACGGGAACAATAAATCCTCCTAAGTCAGACCAATTTTTTTTTAGCTTTTCGCTAGGTTGATTCAACACCATTGAAAGAATATCTTCGATTTCAAACTTTGCACAACAATGCAAAACATCATTTTCCTATGAACAACCCAATCAAACATAGCTGTCTTGTGATTCGTGCGTACATTTTAACATAAACACAACCATCTTTCAAATACGTATTTTGAAAAATTTACAAATAATCATTGTACAATATTAACTTTATGGTAGAAAATATATACACAAGCTCGTATATCAATTTGATTTTTTTTCAACTACCCGATCATCATCGAATTTAGAGGTGTCTGTACTGGGACATTTATGGCGATACATGTACTTTTTTGAGTGGCAAAGAAATATATCACAACTTAATCTTAAGATGGTTGCAATCCGAATCCTCAGTTGACTAGAGTCTTTAGTGTTCTTAATGTGGAAGTCCAGCCGTTGCAAACCTCGACTTGATGTCATGGAGAGCGTACGGGGAGTAGTACGCACCGGTCGGTAGCCCTGGGAGTGCTGCGATCGGTGATGGACTCTTGGAGTACGGATGGTACCGGATAGCACCGACCGGACTCAGCGGCGTGGGGAAGCCCGGCTTGGGAAGTCCGAACGAGGCAGCGGCTGCAGCTGCAGCAGCCGCCGTGGGATATTGCATATAGTAGGCGCTGAGTTGAGCCCCGAGCGTGGCACTCAGAGCTGACGATGTCGGGACCTCGCTGTTGGTCATCGTGTGCGTGCGGAGATGCTGGAGTAGCTCCTCGCTGCTTGCGAACCGCTTACCGCAACTGGTTGCACCGGAGACCCAGTTACAAACATGTCCATGTTCTTGTGAGGTGGTTGTGATGGGGTGAGGGTACAGGTAGGGTGTAGAGTGGACGCTGGATGACACACTGCTACTGAGGTATGGGGACATGCTTCCTGGGAGTGGTAGAGCGATGGGGAGGGGTGCGTTCAGAGCAAAAGTGTCATGTCTGCATTGCGTGCATCCTGATGGAGTGCCTGTTTGGTAGTGTTGAGCACTCTGACAGTTCGTGCAGTAGGGATCGCGGCAGATGGGCATGAGAGTGGTTCCACCATCGGCTGTTTTGACCCTGGCGTAGGCGGTGTAAGGAGAAGCGGTGGCTGCTAGGAGGGGGTTGACCTCGTGCTTGAGGGAGTGAACACTCACAGGGTCACGAGCTGCCACGGCAGGGTCGGGATAGTACGGGACATGACCCACAACTTGAGATGGACACCCGCAGTGACCGGCGTGGGATGCGGCGAGAAGTCCGTGCTTGTAATGTCCGGGGTAGCTGGAATGATGGAGATGGGAGGGGGCAACTTGAGCTGCCTGGACGGGTGCGGTCGGCTTGGAGACAGTGGTCGTGTCCTTGTTACCCTCGCTACCGGAATGGCCGGTGCTGGCATCAGTACTTCCTGGTCTGGAGGTCGGCGTGGTGGCAGGCTCCATCTTGGTCTTCACAAGCGGCGACCGCGGCGAGTTGGAGCCCAAGGGTGACTTGGCCTCCCTCTTGTCCTTCCCGTAGCCGATCTTAATCACCAGGGCGTCTCCGTCCCGCTTCTCGGCCTGCTTGTACGGCTTGAACCCGGAGCTGGACTCCGGCAGACCGGCGGCCGTGGAGGCCTTCTCCGGGGAGTGTTTACCGGAGGGCGTGTGGCGACCGATGGGTGTGGCGGCCTGCTTGGCGTCATTGCTGCTCGGTGGCGGGTCTGGCTTGCCGATGCTGCTGCAGGTCTGGGCAAGTAAAGCCAAGGGACTCTTCTTTGCATCCAACTGAAAAGAAAAAGAAAAAGGAGAAAATCGATTTAGAACCTTACTCCATCATATTGTTTGTGGTGACATACACGACTCTGTATCACCGCCGTTCTCAAATATTTTTTTTCTCTCAAACCAACAACAGATTATTATCAAAAAACTTATCCCCTTCGAGTTGACAAATTTGAAACGTTCTTGGGAATGTTACGAAATAGGTATGTGAAAATATTACCCAAAAATCATAACAGCATTCACAACACAAGTTTAAATCAATACAGATGCATCATTTGAAAAGATTTTTGCCAATACCACTTAAACATCAAATAACAAAACAAAAAAATGTGCTTTCTTTTCTCAAATTTAAGTCCATCCATTCAACGCTTTAAGGAAACGCCATAATTAATTCATAGGCACGACACTGACTCGGGAACCCTGTGCATTTGCGTGGAAACAGAATCAAGTACGGGAGGTTTTGTAATTAACCGCACACCCGGCTGATCAGTACACGGGAGCGCGAGCGCTCGATCACGGCGGGCTGAGCCGTGCTGAGTCGCTCGGCCGAGTCGGAATAATTCGTTCTCATGTTATTGAAGAGATCATAAATTGTTTCTGCTAACACTTAAATTGATTCTCTACATACAAAATGCTACGAACAGAAGATGATAACTTTAGTTGTGAATGGAGAAATGGTATTATTTTTTACTCTAAAGACAGAAATCCTTATTTTCACCAAATGACATGTTCAAAGAAAGGGTCACATATTACTAATTTTAACCAGGAGGGTTTTAAATTTTCATATTTTTTTTTAGAAAATGCAAACCGTATAATCATATGTCGATACATGTCGCAATCACAACAGGACAATTTTTAAGTAGTGTGTACACGTAGCAAATCCGCAGGTCCAGTACGACCATTTCACTTCGTCTGTTAACTCCGCAAGGTTCGAATTTCAGCATGATAGGTACAAACGCAGTTTGATAACTCGGCTTTGAACATAAGAGTGCTTAAAAATTACTCAGTTCAATCACTGTTTAATTAATAAAATCATCGCTCTTGTGACTATTGAATTATACTTGTCCAAGAAGTCGACATTTTCCTGTAATATAATTGTCACATTCTCTGTCCAAAACACAATAAATGGATTATAACCATACAACTAGATGTGTTGAGCGAAACTACATGTGCGTAAATACGTTTCACCAGTTTAAAAAAATATTCAATTGAAAAAACATCTGTCGAACTACTACTGCTAGGACATAAACAGTTTTCAAAGCTTGGGAATGGCAAGGGGAGTAAAGGATCGGAATACCAAATCAAAATATCTCGCACTGACATGCATTTAAAAAATTAAAACATTTGAGTATACATACCGTGGTTGGCAAAGGGTCCAACGGCTGAAGATATTCCGTATGCATAAGCGGTCTGGAAGCTAACATGTTGGCCGGGGAATAGGCTCAAAACACGGCGTGCAAATAACGGGAGTTGTATGGTAACACAGAGCAGTATCGACACGATGCTTGTACTATCAGCGTCGAGTCGAGAATGACTGAGGCCTGCCAAGCTGCAGGCGATCAAACACATTCATCGCTTGCATCGTGAGTGGCTTGAAAACCGCACAAGCTTTGCCCCGGTCTGTGTGTGCCGCCCCTCTAGACAACACACAAAAACACAAATTTGCCGACAACACTTCAAGTCAAACATTGAATTTACAACCCGAGATGAAGGGAATCTACCGCCGGCCAATCGCGTGGGCAGTTGGCTCTGACTAAGCGCGTTGATTGGTCAAGCGGCGCGCGTAGCTGTCACCGGCTCAGAATGATTGATACCCGATAGTGTCATTTGAGAATAGCCAGCCAATCAGCGCGCTCGGTCTAAATGCTCTTTGGCGTACAGCCAGTCGTGCGCGCTAGACTGTAATCAATCAACTTAGTGTCAGACTTGTCAATTTTGTCTGATTTATGTCAGCTTTTTGTTGTTGATAACGTGGCTCGAGTAATTTGAAAAACGGCTTTTGAAAAGGGCAATGATTCTGGGAGATAAATCGTTCCAATAATCGCAATTACTGTGTGACAACAAAGCGGTCCCGCGCACTGGGCTGAATGACACAAGGGGTCTGTTCCCAGCTATCGACGGCATAACAGCGTTTGGTTGCACACGTTTCGCCAAGGCCAGGTTGGGCTATTTTTTCCTCTCTCTCTGGGTCTACACGTCCGGGGTTTGTTGAGTGGGGACCAAAGGGGGCATTGACTGAGCCCCGGCGGTAGACTTCAAAGGAGCCAGACTCTACTAGGAGATTTTTTTTTCTTATCCCTTATCAATCAATCAATGGGGAGCGAGCCGGGGTGTTCAGCGGGCGATCCAGATTGACACTTGGTAGGCGCGAGTGACAGGCCTGGTGACAGATAATGGGGCAATGTCGGCAGTCATCAAAGCATGTCAGACGCTGAATGCTATCGCCCCAACTATTGCCAGCTCTGCTTTTGCATGGTGTTGTGTGTGCATGTCTGTGTGTGTGTGCTTAGGCTCTGGGGTTTCTCTGTTAAAACAACTCTGTAGGCTTAATGCACCCGGTGTACTATGATACGACAAAGTGAATGTGTTGCCGATTGGACGCCTTCAACATGGCGGGGCAGTGCATGCATTTTGTCTACCCGTGAAAATGGCTTCATGTTTTTGCCGCGTAAAATAGTCCAGGCTGGTCTGGCACCGTCTTTTTTTTTATTTCCCTGGGAGTCGGCCGTGATCAGACGTATACTTTTCGTAAATATTATTATCGCGGGATGAGGGTTTTTTTCTCTGCCACTCTCATGCCTAGAGCGAGTGCTTTTGTGCTGTCTTGTTTAGCGAGGAAATTGACTTAAATTACAGCATGATTAAGGCAAATCAATCGCGGTCTTTGTTGGTAGCGGCGCAACCATAGCTGCATATTTTGGGGATGTTTTCTTGTTGGCGGGGCCAGGGAATAAAAAATAGGAAATAAAAGGACAAGGTTTTTTTGTCGGACGAGTCGGGCCCCGTTTGAACCTCGGATCATTTATCAAACTGCAATGGGGGAAAATAAACTCTTTTCTTGCGATTGAGGCGGGAGCATAATGCTAATGTCTCCTGCGGGTTGTGTGTCGTTGAAAGCCCGTCTCTGAGGACTAACGGTCATCAATAATGGAATTTTTTGTTCCCCTTTCTCCCTGGAAAGATTTCTGGAGAATAAATCTTTGACATGATCGTTGGACAGCGTGTCTGGAGAGCAAAATGACTCGGGTCGCTGATGACCGATAGCATGGGATTCAATTTAGATCAGATCAGTTTCTGGCTTTTGAAACCGCTTCGGAATCAATAAAGATTTCCTGATAAACAAGATCTTGAAATTCCTTATTGTCGGCGGTTCGTGTGTACTAGTAGTAGGGTCAAAATGAACGAAGGCTGTACTGTTAATCCCATTATTGCGAACCAGTCATAACTATGTGTGTGTACTGTTTTGAATTCAGTGTTTTAAAATTTTAGTTTCCATGGATTAACACTGGAAATATTTATGTAGCCAAATTGATATTTCTTGATGGTCGTGCGTAGAATAATGATTGACATTATATAACCGTATTATTTTTGTGTATTCGACTGCCTACTATAAAAGGTGTCCTTGATCCAGAAAATTGAGAATTTGGTGAATGGATGTACCATGCCTGTCCGTTACTGCTGGATTAATCAATCCACGAACCGTCACCATCATCATCATCATCATCATCATCGAGCCGGCCCAGCCGGCCTGGCCGGCCCGCCACGACCACAAACGAATCTCGCTTGCTGTTTTCTCGCCGGCAGCAGTTGACGAGGTCGCGGCGGGGGGAAACTCCAATCCCCACAGCTGGTCCGTAGATTACAAACCCTCCCCGCTCGTGGATTCGGTTTCTTTTTTCCCTCCCTAATTGGTTTGCAACAAGGTTCGGGCCTCTCGTTCAATTGAAAAAAAGAGAAGAAACTCCGGGGTTATAGCATGTGGGTGCTGTCGGGGTTTCAAGTCCGTGGGACGACGGGGCGATGTGAGCCCGGGCCCCGGACCGCAGTGAAGCGCTCGGTGGGACGCGCTGGCCGGGCGGACAACATCAAACAAACACCCCCTCTAAAAAAAAAAGAGGCTTGTCTTTTTCGCCTGTGTTCGTATTTGTCAAGACGTATCGGGTTGCTGTGTTTGGGAGCTGTCATTCAACTGGAGCGGAGACCGCCCGTACGTGACAGCTTGGTGGTTCGTTTTGGCATGACCACGGTGCAACCTTGCCGTGGAATATGTAACATGACTTAGTTTGGCCACTGTGACAAATGCGGCATGAACAGTCGTGATTGATAACGTATGTGCCTCTATCATGAAAACACTGTTTACGTTATTCTATCCTTGGAAATCCTCACGTACCAACTCAATATTGAACTTTGAAGAATGATTTGAAATTTCAGATATTTTATTCTCGCTGAAAAATCCTACACATTCTCAACAACTTACCATGCAATAATATTAGACGTAACTGGAATGGTAAAGGATACACCCGGTTTGAAGATAAGGCATGTACAAAAAAATAACTCATGCTCACGCTGAATGAAACCAAATAAAAGCAATGAAAATATGAATACCATAAAGACTATACACAGGTTTTCTGTGCATTTTTAGGTTTTCATGTTTAACTTGAACACAATTCTAACTTCAAGTTCTAGGTTTGTACTTGAAATTTCACAAATCCGAGATAAAAGTTTTACTCCGAAGTAAACAGACATTAATCATCGAAAGACCAACCCCGACCTCCGCGATCCAAAACTACTCCGCCCCCAAACAAATTCAAATTGTGAACCAAAATTTGCACTGAACTGCAAGGTTCGAATCCCATTCATTTTTTCTTTCTATTTTCACTTCTCTCTCAAAAACTACAGCCGGGCTTTAACACGAGTCAACAGACCATAAAAGTCCCGACGTCAGATTGGCCCACACACCTCATCGCTTACTCGTACTTATTCCCGTCTTTTGTGTTTCCCTTTCACCTGAAATACATATGTTTTTCCTTCTTTCCGGTTGTCAAACTTGATGAATATCACCCGATACAAAAGGGCCCGGGTTGAACTTAGTTCAGAGACTGCACCTTGTACTTTTATTCGGGGGAATAAAAAAAAAAACCTTCTTTAATTTTCAAAAGATTTCCGCCATAATCGTTCACATTCACAGCCGTTACAAATACGCATGTACATGTTCAATACGTGCAAACCAGACGGCTGGAATTATGAATTTGACATCCATGCATGCCATGGTTCGGCCGTTGGAGGTACAGAGGGCGCTCTTCAGAAACACTGATGGTGTATCACGGATTTGGCACACGGATTATGCGTGTATTTCGTATGCTACGACGTTCTCGAGGAACAACATTGGAATTTCTTTAATATTTCTTGCCCAAGCTGGATGTAGTTTTCGTGATATTTTTTTTTAGGTATCCCAATTGGTATGGGAGCAAAATCCCAACACTTTACCATAAGTTTACTCCTCTTTTTATACTCAAACTAGTAAAACACAAGTGCCCGTAATTCGTCAAAGAAACCAAATCTCAAAATTCGAATCCCGAAAGTTGTCTGAATTGAAGGGCTTTCGCGACCGTCGTTCCGTCGCGCGTTAAAATGCTATTATCAATGTGAAATCTGTTTTGGTTTTCCATGTATCATGGAGCCTAGTCTTCATTTTGAAAATTCCCCACAAATTACATTCAAACCCTTATTTTTCATTGTCTGAGAAGTGACTGAGATTATGTAAAGTTTGTTGCGGGTAACCGATCCCATTTTAATCTGGAACCGGTTCCAGACGTCAGCGGTCGGTACTCAGGTATCCAGTTCCGATGCACCCCCCTGATTCAAACCCTTCCTGAGGAGAGGTTCTCCCGACTTTATGCCAGGCTTTGGTAACGCAATGCAATATTCTTGGCTTCTTCTTTTCCATTTGCCATGCTCTTATTATCCCCAACAACTTTTCAGTTTACCAACCTTCCAAGAAAGTTGGGGGGGAAATCCTTTTCCACGAGAACAGAAATGTTTTGAGAACCACACGAGCAAAACAGACGACACAGTGCTCTCATCACGGCAGCTGATGGCATCTTTTCCCGCCAGAAATTGGCACCGCCAGTCCGCCATATTGAAAAAAGGAGCCAAAAATTCCCTGGCTGACTGCTGATTGATGTAGGACGTGCATGAACCGAAGGTTACCCGTCCCGCAATCTTTCATTTCATTCTAACCCCACTTCAATCGACACGACGATGATGATTTTTTTTGTCAACTGTAAAAAAAAAAAAGAGAGAGAGAGACCGAGAGAGAAAAATCTACTTGTGTATTTGGCCGCGTGTTTCCGCTCATGTTGATGAAATTTGGTGATAAATGACCCGACTGTCCCCTAGTAACTTCCGCCCGAGTCGTAAGATGCAGACAACACATGTCGCAAATCAAGTCCCGCTGATTTATCAATAGGGGGCGAGAGTGGCTGGACCTCAGATCTGATTACTTTCTTTCTAAACTGAAAAGTTGCTTTCTGAATCATGGTACCCTTTGCACTCGCTGGATATGTTTCCTATGTTAGGTTTTAA